ATTATATTACGAATAAAATTGTATTGGAATAATTATCTAAATAACAATTTATTCGACTAATGCCCAACTCTGGTTATATTTTTTATTCAGTTTACAACAATAAATTACACTACACAATAATTTTTAACCAGATAAATAACCAGGCAAGTGTGAACAACCTCACTATAAATATTAATTTTGCAATCTTTCATCAAAATTTCTAACTTTGTAATTAGAATCTTTAGAAAAAATTTGGTTTGCAGTTTTGTAGCTCATTAAAATTTAGTATAATAAAGTGCAAGTGGAAAGTGATGCTCATTTGCTTCTCTTAAAAAAAAATTGTCGAACAGCGAAACAAAAAAATTGCGACTTCAAAATTGCACCTTATTATACTAAAATTTAGCGAATTTTGTGTTTTTTAATTGTGCGGGGTAAAAATCTCGAGAAAAATGTCCTACAAATTGGTGATTTTTTTACTGTAAGGATGCTGTTTCAGGGCAAATACATCTAGGATCATTGAAGAAGGCTTTAAGATCTGTAAGTTTTTTTGGAAAAAAATTGCAAAATTATTTTTTGCCCGTATTTGGATCCTATATATATGTTCACCGTATGAATAATAGATACATACAGCGCCGAATTTTTGGTATCACTTTAGTATAAAACGGGATTTACGTTATATTCGGATGGGGTTTTCTTAACTCGTTACTGGCAGCACTGTTCAGAGCTCTTTCAAACACGTTTCGTTTGATATGCGTACTGTTATATTGTATAAGTAAATTTTTTATTTAAATATCTTTTTTTTGTAATTTTTTCGAAAGCCGGCAACCCTATCCAAATTGGTTTCTATATTAAAAGGTTTTCTACGTTCTCTTTGAAATAGAATTATTGAGACTCATTTAAGTTGTTAAGTGTTCTTTAAGTTTCAGATATCTGACTACCCAATTTTTCCAATTTTTTTTTTGAAAACCTTTTACAGATAGAAAGAAACAAAATGAAATAAATACGAAGCAAATCCGTTGAGCCGTTGAGTTATGCGATAACACACAATTTTCACCAAATTTCTTCCACAAACAATAGCGAAAAACATATAAATCATCCAACAATTTAATTTTAAAATAAAGTGGTGATTAAAAGTATTATAAAATATTTTATAGAGCTCTTTCAAACACGTTTTGTTTGATATCAGTACTGCTATCTATCTATATATATATAAATGTGAATGTATCTTTGTTCATTACCTTATAGCTTCTGAACGGTGGCACGGAATCGCACGAAACTTTGCACACTTATTTGCTTTTACCCCGGGAAGGTTATAGGCATAGAGAAAAATGGGCAGTACTGGAAAAGAGGGCGTGACACCTCCTATACTAACTAAAATTTTCATTTTGTATATCTCTTGAAATACTTGTGCTAGAGCATTGGACCTTGCTGCCGAGATAAATAGAACTAATTACGTACTCATGGGAAAATATGGGCAGTATTGGAAAAGAGGGCGTGGCACCTCCCATAGGCGTGAATTATTTAATCAACTCTAACTTCGGAACCGGAAGTTACATGAACTTGAAATTTGGTATACAAACATATCTATCTTAAGGTATATATCTTAAGGCATTAGCGCACACAAGGGGTGGGTTTTGGGGTTCAAACCCCCCCCCCCTAAAGCTAATAACCTCAAATACAATCTGTATCTTAAAGCTAAGAATCCAGCTCTCAAGGAAATTATAAGAAATATTTATTATAATTTATGTTGCATGAAAACGCGCTTTGCTTTTGCTGTAAATTTTCATGAGGGAATAAATATACGAGCATTTTTTTTCTTGAGAGCTGCAAACTGATTTAAGAAATTTCGGTAGAAGAAAACTTCTTTTCCATTTCTCGTCCGTCGTTTTATATGAATTTTTCGTTTTTCTTGAGAGTTCAGTTAATTTTTTCGGTATTTGAAACATTAAAAAAATTTAGCAATCGTGAAAAATCACCATCTCTATCGAAAACCAGAAATCGAAAAAATTAACATAGAAGTGCAAAAATTCATGGAATCAATAAATTTATTTTTACTGACTCTTTTTTTAAATTTTTTATTAGGTACCTTTGAAAGTTGAGCGCATCTTGAGTTTTTAGAACTTTTTATTAAGCAAGTAGTTTTTAAGGAAAGGACACAACCGACTTCAATTCTCATATTCAAATTTAGGGGTACCGTTAATTTCTTCATGATCCAATAATCGGATCTCTAAAACAAATTACGGGATCTTGAGGTACTATCTTTCTAATAAAAAAGGATTATTGAAAACGGTTCACGTGGTCCAAAGTTATGTATTCCGGCGAGATGATAACCTCCCTTTTTTTGAAGTCGGTTAAAAGCGTTTGAGTTCTATTAATCTGTAAATAAAGTGCAGTTTATGAATTTTAAAACGTTTATTTATTTATTACATACTGTACATAAAACTTGCATAAATGTATTTTAAAGAGGGTATTATCTGAAGAAAATTTTCAGTATTTTCCGGTGATATATCTTCAGAAAAATAACCCCCCCCCCCCCCGCCCCCCTAAAATATATTCCTGGGTGCGCCCCTGTCTTAAGGTAAATATAAATGAGTTTGTAAAAGGGGGCAAATACCACAGGCGTGGAATTTTTAGTCAGTCATAACCAGGGAACGGATTTTTAGGACCTAAAAACCTATAAAAAAAGGCAAAATAAAATAACGAAATAGGCTGGAAAAGGCAAAATAAAAAAGCGAAAAAGGCAGGAAAAGGCACTAGGTATTGCAAAAAAGGCAAAACAAAATAGCGAAAAAGGCAGGAAAAGGCAATAGGTATTGCAAAAAAAGCAAAATAAGGCAATAAATAAAATTATAGTTAAAAAACTAAAAACATGCTTCTATTACAACAAGACTAAAAAGTATATAATAATATTTAGATATAGTGATTCCTATCGGCAAAATTTTTTGTGGATGTATTTCTTTTCATACAAGTATTTTGCTTTGCTGCCTCTATGCTTAAGTGCACATTTAAGAAACCTACCCCAAAATGCGCATCAAAAGCATTATTTTTAACATTTATTAGGAAACTGCTCCGATAGATGCATTCAACATACCTGCACATTGGCGATACCTGCCTTAAAAATTGTGCGACTAGTATCAATTGTCAATGAAAGTATTACGTTTACCTGCACTGGCCCTACAATTACCTAATTTTACAACCTTTTATTTATTTCGCTCATCTCGCAGAACAACGAAAATGGCTATCAATTTATGTAGTTATATAGATAATTAGATAACATTCGGTAAAAATTTCGCTTGCAGTAATTTCTACATGGTAAGCGCTCCGCCAATATTTGGTTTCATAGGGATTCGGATACCTTCCTCATTGAAGGTGTAAAGAAAATTCGCTTAAGTGCCTTTTTCGCTTACGTGCACAAATTTTTCGGGCAAAGAAGGATGTGCAGCTAAGCAAAATATACTGTAATATATGTTCTAAATATGAACCACATCAGACTATAAATGGGGGTTTTACAAATATCTCATCAAATCAGACTTTAAATGCGGGTTTTACAAATATCTCGACTCCTGCGTCACCTAGCGGATTAAGTCATCTTTTATATTGCATTGTCCTCGAGTTCTGAGCTAAGTTTGAAGTTCCAGGTCTGTAGCTTATCGGGAAGTTTGTTAAATATTGACTGCAAAGTTCCAGGACATACAAAGATGCATACATACATACATACATACAAATGAAGTTAAATAAAAGCTTGTAAAAAAGACAGAAAATACGAAGAACAATCAAAAAATACATTTATTTTAGAAATGTTTATATTACAAGTAAACAGAGAAAAACTATGAACTAGTTTCATTATATGAAAAATTTGTACTTTGAATCATTGACTATTTTATCCTTTCGAATTTCTAACTCATAAAACTTTAATCTGAATAGTTGTAGTAACATTGAACCACAAGATGCATTTTGATGTTTTCTGGCAGCATTTTCATTCGATTTTCGCGAAGAAAAGCCCTGAATGTACTAAATGTGCGCTCGACGTAAGTTGATACAAGTGGAGCCCAATTTAAATATGGAACGTTTAAAACGTTCATATTATCAGGAATAAGGGCGTTTTCCTCGCCCTTTACAATTTTATCCACACCCCTTATTATCTCCAAGCCTACGTGAGCTGAGAAAACGGCTTTGAAATTTTCCAACACCAATTTGGCAAGAGGTCCCTGCGCTTTTATAAGCCGCATGGGCATGTGTATATTTTTTAATCTTAAAAAAAATTGTAAATGCTATAATCACTTTTTTAAAGGTAGAAAAGGCAAATATCTTATAAAAAGCAAAAAAACATCAAATGTGTATATATGGAATCAGGGAAAGCTAGATCGTGGACATTCTTAATCGAATATACTCTATCTCTTTAGCAGAAAAAAAGGCAATTTCCATAAAATCCGTTCCCTGGTCATAACTTTGGAACCATGAGTCACATAAACATAACATTTGGTATGCAGACATATCTATGGTAGGTGCTTATAGTAAGTTATATATAAATAAGTTTGTAAAAGGAGGCGTAGCACTTAACATAGGCTTGGAATTTTTTATCAGCCATAACTTCGGAACAACGAATCACATGACCCCTCTAATTCCTTCTGACGTGGTGTAAGACCCGCGGGTGAAAGCATGGACTGTAGATATTATATTTAAATAACCCTTTTGTAACTTTTTTCGAAAGGTGGCAACCCTATTATTTTTTTTTCTATATTAAATTTTTTGTGCATTCTCAGTAAAATGGCCTTATTGCAGCTCATTTAAATTTTGTTATTTTACATATCTGGTAGGTTTTTAAATTGTTTTCTTTACAAACCTTCCACAGAAAGAAATAACATAAAATAAAAGTGAAGCAAATCCGCGCATCCGTTTGTGAGTTACGCGGTCATACTCGCACAGCAATTAATTTTTATATATAGAGACTTAACTATCTGAATTAAGTTCTTTTGTAGTATTTACAAGCGAATGCAATTATGATTTATTTCCTTACTTACCCACTAGTCGTTCAACAGCATACTCCAAGTTTGCAGCCGACACCTTTTCCTGGCAATTTCGAGCAGCATGTAGTGCAGCTTCGTTGCAAACATTTGCTATATCGGCTCCTGAAAATCCAGGAGTTAATCGAGCAAGCTTTTCTGAAAACTTGTAGGGCTCAGAGTCTAGTTTAATACTTGACAAATGTTTCTCAAAAATTTCTTTGCGTTCATGTAAAGTAGGTAAATCAATCAAAATATGACGATCAAATCTACCGGGACGAAGTAAAGCCTACAATAAAACAAAAATAATTTATTTATTTTAACTATTTAGAAAACTAAATAAGTGTGTTATATTCTGCGTTGTTAACCCTGCCTTCATAACGTTATTTCTTACCCCTTAATTCATAACGGTACGTCTAGTAGGCGTATAATATTTAAAGGGCATTATCTGATACCTAATAGAGCTGTAAAAGTAACGAAAATTCGGATACCCGTATGTATTCGTTACTAATCCAATCAACACCCGTATCTTTGGTATCGTTACTTTACTCGTTACTTCTGATACAAGCACTTGTACCTCACAAGAATCATCGCAACAAATCTTATATCTTATATGCATATGTATACACGCAACATATTTTTTGTATCGATTCGAACAATTTGATACAATCAGCCACTTGTACCTCACAGAAATCATGCATGCATGTACGTTAGACTGCATCACTCCCCATACAAAAAAAAAAATCGGTACTATTTTTCCATTGGAATTGGAAAAAATATTAAGATTTAAGTGAGCTGGACCGATTTGAAAATACCTACAAAAATCGTGTTTTTTATGAATAAAAATAGTTTCTTAAAGATTTTTTTTTTTTTAAAAATCCAATCAAATGATAAAACGGTTTAAGCTTAAAATATTTGCATAAAAATATTTAAAAAAAATAAAAAAAAAATTTTTGAACGGAATCGTAATAGAGAGCTTTTTGATGCTGTTTTTTAACTTTTTTCAAAGATTGGTATAGGAAAAATTTGAATAACTGAACCTAAACTCCTCCGATTTAGACCTAAGAAGTGTCATTGGAAAGGTATTTTCTCACCCTTTTTACTTCTTTGCTAATAAACTCTCAAAGGATGAAAGAGAAAGGTAGGATGAACGAACGTCATTCAAAGTTGAATTAAGATGTGTTGGTATTCGAAAAAAGAAAGGATGGGACACGAATGACGTTTTTTTTGGCCAGAAATAAAAACAGTGTTAAAATACCTTTCTACTGAGATCCAATAAGTCTAAATCAAAACATTTTTAGCCCAGTTATTCAAGTTTTTCGTAAACCAATCCTTGAAAAAGTAAAAAAAACAGCATCAAAAATCTCATTCTTACGATTCCGTTGAAAAGATTTTTAAATATTTTTATGCAGATTTTTTAAGCTTAATCTAATTTGTGATCTGAGGGGGCTTTTTTTAAAAAGTTCTTTAAGAAACAATTTTTATTCATAAAAAACTTCATTTTTGGAGGTCCAGCTCGCTTAAATCTTAATATTTTTCCGAAATATTTTGGTGGACGTCTTAAAATATAATAAATTTTGTAATCCCGGTGGAAAAACCGCAACTTTTTTTGGTGATGCAGTCTACTGTACGTACATACATATACGGGCAACACACTTTAGTATCGATACGAAAAACAGTTTCGTTACCGCACAATATGTTGTGTTGTATTGATTCAAGTTGATGGTGCATATACGGAACATGCGAGTAACGAGACTATTATGTGAGTAACGAAACGAATCTTGCAGCGTAAGGAAATGTTGGTTCGTACACACGATTGAGAGAATACAAAGGTTGCGCCGATCTCGGACCGCTATTCCTCTCTTAACGAATTTGACAGAATCGTTGTTTGCATGACGTCACACTGGTGCAACTTGTTTACGTTTTCCTTGCAACATTATTTCTTCTTCTTCCATTCTTGCTCACGTTTTGGCATTTCTCTCTCGCAATTGCACCAGTGTGACGTCACTCAAAAGTTATTCTCAAAAATCCTCTCTGATCGGCGCAATCTTGTATTCTATCATTCTTGGTTCGTACATATGCATATATGTACATATATACATATCACGATTGAGAGAATGCACAGGTTGCGCCGATCTCGGACCGCTATTCCCCTCTTAACGAATTTGACAGAATCGTTGTTTGCATGACGTCACACTTGTGCAACTTGTTTACGTTTTTCTTGCAACATTTTTTCTTCTTCTTCCATTCTTGCTCACGTTTTGGCATTTCTCTCTCGCAATTGCACCAGAGTGACGTCACACAAAAGTTATTCTCAAAAATCTCTCTGATCGGCGCAATCTTGTATTCTATCATTCTTGTATACATATGTATACACGCAACATATTTTTGTGTCGATTCGAACAATTTGATACAATCAAGCACTTGTACCCAGTGATGGAAAAGTAGCCAATAGTGCCATTTTTGGCCCTTTCATTCTCAGAGGCACTTTTGGTAGAATTCATCCTGTTTTGGCACAATCATAAAATATAGAAGTTTATCATAAAATGCCAAAATATAACAAAAAATTACATACTACATTATAGATTAAAAAATTATAAAAAGTGTAAATTAAATAATAAAATAAGGGCTGTGAGAATTATTTGCAAACCGCTGAATTCTGTTGTGAATATGCAGTCCGAAAAGTAAGTTTTCGCCACAACAAGCTTTTAATTCAGAATTTTTGGAAACATTCTAAGTTCGCAGTTTTATAGTTCATTAAATGAAAGTGCAAGTTTCTGCAATATCCCGCTGATTTTTGATATTTTTTGTCATACATTTTGATCCATTTAAAAAAATTTCGAACACACTTTATATGGAAAAAATGCATAACATCGAAAACTTGGAATCTCCCTAAAAATTCTGAATTCAAAGTATTTTGTTGCGAAAACCTGCTGAGTTTTTATAATTTTTGTACAAAGTTTGAAATACCGATTTGTGTACATTTATTGTGTTTATTAAATTATGAATTAGTTTTATTTAAAATCAATTAAAAAATAATCAATGAAAATAATAGGCGAAACTGGTCAAAATGTCTTACTGCCATTATTTCGCATAAAGGTACATACATATGAGTGAAAGAATGCCAGAATAGCTGTACTTTAGTGTATTTCCCTTCCGTAATTGGAATTCTGTGTAATTTTACTATGAATTTATGTATATGTCTAATAGGCAACATAGACGGTACGCCTGACTCGCGAGTCAACTGTGTACGTGTTCACTCGCCTTTCGACTAAACACAGTTGAGTCATTCAGAGTCATACCAGAGTCGGCATCATGAAGATAACCAACCGTTCAGCTATAGAAAAACTACACGATTGAGAGAATACAAAGGTTGCGCCGATCTCGGACCGCTATTCCTCTCTTAACGAATTTGACAGAATCGTTGTTTGCATGACGTCACACTGGTGCAACTTGTTTACGTTTTTCCTTGCAAAATTTTTTCTTCTTCTTCCATTCTTGCTCACGTTTTGGCATTTCTCTCTCGCAATTGCACCAGTGTGACGTCACACAAAAGTTATTCTCAAAAATCCTCTCTGATCGGCGCAATCTTGTATTCTATCATTCTTGGAAAAACTAGATTGCTAGTACTTTTTACGCTGATTTTAACTATATAAATATTATTTACCGCAATTAAAAAGTAAAGTAGATATAAAAGGTAAAACAAAAAAATTTTGATATTTTAAAATATTAATATTTTCTAACCTGCGCAACCGATTCAAAAGGTAATGTTGTCAAAATAAAGACAATTAATTACTCTTCGAGCTGATATATAAATGTGTATGCTTTTTTACATACTTAAGCCAAAAATATTATAAAACAAAAAAAAATTCATAAATTTTTGATAAAATAACCTTTTTTTAGAAAAAGTCCATAATCAATGCTAAAAAAATTTATATTATTTAGAAAGTGCAAGTTTTTAGCTCTAATTTGATATACATATTATATAATGATTTGCTTTTGAGTTTTCAGAATCCAGTGATAATAAAAAATATAAATGCATGTATGTGCAAATCCATATTCCAGTTAATTAAACGGGTTGGCTTTCCATTATGGCTGTTCGTTAAAGGGGCGGTGGACGAAAAGTAGGTGGGCGTGGCACCTTTTTGGAGAGGGAATGAACCGCCATTGACAAAAATGCAACCCCCGACCACCTAGGTCCCCTATGGTTCCTTAGGGACCTCTTAGAAAAATGGCTAAAAATCACAATTTTCATTTGCGTTTTTTCGCTTGAAAAATGTTAAACATTCATTTGCACAAGACATTTTTATATACAGCGTGGCGACGAATAACTATTACCCCGGTTTTTTTGAGAAATAAAAGGGTCCTTTATAGATTTTGCGAAAAAAGTATTTTATTGTCAATTTTCCACAGATTTTACTTTAGTTGTATTAATTAGTTATTAAATTTTAATCCCTATTTACATTTGCCAGCAGTTTAAACTTTGAGAGAAAAGTTCATTTGGCACGCAAGTCTTTTTCAGGTGTATTTTTTCTTAGGCTTTGTATAAAAAATACAAAAAAGAAAAAACCTGTATAAGGTTGGTCGAATGAATGGCCGTCCTAGTCACCAGTTCCGAGTCTATTCGATTTTTGAGTATGAGCCCTTATGTCGAACAAAAGCGGGAGTATAAAGGACACAAAATGGACAAAATTTGCCTATGGTTACAGAAGATATGGAATAAATTAACTGACGAAAACCTGCGTGCCAAATGAACTTTACTCTCAAAGTTTACACTGCTGGCAAATGTAAACAAGGATTAAAATTTGAAAACTAATTAATACAACTAAAGTAAAATCTGTGGAAAATTAACAACAAAATACTTTTTTGGCAAAATCTATAAAGGACCCTTTTATTTCTCAAAAAAATCTGGGTAACAGTTATTCGTCGCCACGCTGTACACATTTTTACATACAAGGCATTTTTATAAAACACCCAGTAACCATAATAGACATCACTGGGGCGGCAGCCCCAGGTTTACCACACAGAAAGGGAATTCTAGTTACCTCATCCTTTCCCAAGGCTACATCACTGGGGCGGTAGCCCCAGTTGGTGCACACCAAAAGGAGAATTCTATTTGGTAAGGGTTATAATCCCTAAGTGCGGCCGAAGGCCGCCTACACAGAAAGGTGTTCTCTGCAAGGGGTGTTCAGCTCCGCTTCTTCGGCAATACAGAAAAGAGAATTCTACTTTGTAAAGGTTATGAAAGAAAGAAGTTCTGGGCAAAAGAAACTATGATATCACCCACAC